ACTGATTGAGCTTTGAGTGGGACTTGAAGTCCGTTCATATTTCATTCCACTGTCCTATAATGCATGTGTTGGACTTCAACCAATACCATTGCCTTTTTCCTGTGAATTCTGCTGCAGTGTATATCATACTGATATCTTGCTCTAGCTGTTATTGCATACTTTATGTTTCTGGAGAATAGGGGAATTTCATTTGTTCATTTTGTTCTGTAACACTTAAAGCAAATTCATACACAACTTCGGTTCTCTATGAATACCTATCCAGTGAGGAGCTGACCGGGAGATGGGGGATTGTAAAGTATTCCTGCCTACTTCTAGGCCCAATGCACAAAAGAATCTGTGATTTGATATACATGCACTGCATATCATAGTGGAAAACTTTAGTTCTTACTTTTCTTTTGCTGTAAAGAGATAACCTGACCAAGGCAACTTATAAAATAAGGTATGTAATTGAGGGGATATTTACAGTTTTAGTGGGTGAATCCCTGACCATCATAGCTGGTAGCACAGCAGAAGGCAGGCTGGCATGACTCTGAAGAAGTAGCTGAAAACTTATATCTACTCCATAAGCATGAGATAGAGACAAAGTTAATCGAATGGTATGAGTTTCAGAAACCTCAAAACCCACCCTCAGTGATACACATCCTCCAGCTAAGCCAGACCTTCTCCAAGCCCACACCTCCAAATCCTTCCCAAACAATTTCGAAAACTGTGGACCAAGCATTCAAATGTATGAGTCGTTTCAATTCAAAACACCACACCTTATGTATAAAAATGCAAATTGAATTCCAAAGAGCTTATAAACCTGAACAAGCTCTATGAAGTTTTTGTAAAACTTTGCCTGTGCTTTGCAGTTTCATAGTATTAATGTGGTCACTTAGTTTTCATTAGACTCTCCAGCTTCTGTCAAATAATCAAAACTACTGTGTAGGTTGAATATGGCTAGATTAACTACATTGATATGCACAAGTGCCTCAGGCTTTCCCCAAATAAATCCATCAAATAAGTTTTGAGACATACAGAACACTGACTAATATATGGATGATTATTTTTTTCTTTTTATTGGGGCAAAATCAATACATTATGTGATCTATGAAAGATGATTGCAAAACCTGAGAGAGAACTATAAAGAGACATATAAGATATGCACTTTTGTATTGTATGCTAGTGTTTTTTTACTCCATCTTAGCAGCAATGCAGTAAGCTGTTTTATATGAAGTCAGATGTGTTCATCAACTAAGGCCTCTGACGTGTCTATGTTCTATTGTGCATTTAGATTTTACACTAATTCATTCAGAAGAACTAAGTGAATATAGATACATATACACAAATACATATACATGCAGTGCATATTTAAATGTTTGTGAATGACAGAATAGAAAAGCATTCTTAATATTAGTAGTAGGCTAATTTAAATTCACTTTGTCATATATAAAAATGTTCTGAAACAATAATGCAATTTAAACAAGATCCAAAAAAATTAAAAAACAAACAAACAAACTTAGTTATGTTAACCATTGCTAAAACTTACATGAAAACACCAAATGATGCTTCCATCCCAAAAATTGGTCCTGACATGAGGGTTCTTGTATGTCCAGACCTTGATGTTGGCACTATAACTAGTACAACTGCTTTAGGGAACTTATTGCTTGTGTCAGCTGTATTTATCATGTGTCTTCCCTGTGGTATACATTTCTTGTTCTATATAAACAGCTCAAAAGAAACAGTGTCATTATTCTGTTAACACTCAGAAGTCTCCAGGAGTGGTGTACAACTAGAAAGTGAAGGTAATGATCAAAATTTGTACTTGAATTTTTGGTTAACTTATATGTTAGCATTTAATATTTCAGTGTATTTTGCTAACATTTTTATATAATTGTACAGGTTCTTCATGCCTATTAAGTATACATTCTCACTGCCATTGTAAGTTACTTCACTTCAGTTTCATCTGATGAATTGAGGCAGTGAATATGCAAAAGAGAGAGATAATCAATGGTTTGAAAATATATAATGAATGTCTTAAAATGTTTGGGGACTCAAAAATATTACTCTCTGAGTTTTAGAATAAGATTTTCAAGCTCTAAAACTTATACCAATTTCAAGTGATGTGATCACTTTTGAATTTGTTAAATTAGAAGCCCAAAAAGGAGCAAAAAAGCACATTCAACACAGGAGGAGAAAAATCAGAAAAAAATAGCTGACCAAGAGACTCGGTTCTTGTCTCTGGTTCATGTTTGATTGCTAAGTCATTGATAGACTATAGATTTTCTGGAAAACAAATTAATTTGTCATTATTATGACTTCCAAAATGTAATACTTTTATGCACATTAATAAACACATTAATCAAAGTAAATTTAATTTTCTTTCAATATGATTCTAGTTCATTTTCATACAAGGTTGGTATATAAGTAATTTCAATATAGAAACAAAAAAATTTCTCTCCTAAATAAAAGGAGGGGTGGATCTTGACATGAAACATTTATTATTTATATACCTCCTTCCTCCTATATAAATGGCTGCACATACTAAAAGTTTCTAAGTTTATCTTATGAAAATATTTAAAGAAAATTTTAACTTACTTTGTTTTATTAATTAAATGTGTTCTTCAAAAGGTTTGGCATGTATTTAGCATGCTACATTCAGCTTATTCTCTTCCCATACTTTATTAACACAGAAAACCACAACAGGTCAAAGTGCAAAGAGTGTTTTTGAAGTTTTCAGCCATAGATGAAATATCAAAAACACAACCCACCACCACTGCAATAAAGCGCAGGGAACATTGTGGAACAGGGTTGGAAATGTAGTCAGATGAAGGAATTGTGGAAGACCAAGGGAAAATTATGTTCTGGAAATGACAGTAACTCTGCCCTCATAACCTACAGATACTGTCATTGCCTGCACAAGTTCTGTATCCAATCAAGCCAGTCAACATAGGAAGAAATAAGGTGCTACTGATGGATAAGGGAGAGTCAACGTTCTTTAAGGTTATTGCTTCTTGGTTGATTTATCATGCTGTAGTTGATAGCTACACAGGTATATGGAAAGCAAAAGTTACAGTCAGTGTGTTAAGAAAAAATAAAATAAATAAGAGGCCATAGAGTATAGAGAAGTGAATTAAGAGAATAGGAAGTACCAGGGAGAAGTTAAAGTGATGAGTCAGTGGTAAATATTATCAAAAAACATTGTATGCATGTATGAAATTCTTTTTTTCACTTTTTAAAATTTAAAGCAGAAACAATCTTATTTTACATATCAATCCCAGTTCCCTCTTCCTCCCATTCTTCCACTCCCCCCTCAAGTGACCCCAAAACCCATCCCCTTTCTGCTTTCCAGGGAGGGTGAGGCCTTCCATGAGGGATCCTCAAAGTCTATCACATTATTTCAAGCAGGGCTTGAAATGTGTTTAAGCTGAGAGAGAGTATCTCTCTATGGGGAATGGGCTCCTAAAGTCCATTCATACCATAGGAATATATATTATATTTAAAGTTAAAATAATAATAAATATAATTTAAAATATAAAGAGAAAAAAAGTACATTTACCTAAGTTAGTCCTACAGTTGAATGTCTTATTGTCAATCTCTACATATGCACAATAAAAGAATACCAACAAATGAAGTTCTTTCTCAGTATCTGGGCTGTGTCCTGGCCACCTATTTATTTAGAAATATCTGAACATAGAAAAATATACAGCTGGTTTCCTTTGATGGACTTCTCGTGAGTCTTATAAAGAAGCCATATAGAATTCATGGCATGCAGACTAGGGTACAGCTGATCATAAATGTGCACATTTTTCCATTTGCTCTTTTTTCATTGTCTTTCTTCAGTATGTGACATATGGAAAGTCAATGAAAAATTATCAAACTAGAAAATATTTGTGAAAGTCATAAAGTATCCTATTGCTTTTTATTTTAGTCAAGAATTATGGTGATGAAGTACACTTGATCTCTATTTAGTTCATTTGCTCTGGTATGCACTTAAAGCCCTGTGGCCATGAGAAAGGCCATGTTCAGCATATGCCACAGAGATTGGGCTAGGCAGAAACTGCACCTCAGTGATGGTGTTGCTATCTTCATACAGAGAACCAGCATGGCCAACTTCATGTTCAGTAAATGTTATGATAATATAAGTGGGAGATCAACAAAGGAAAAAAATGTCTGCTAAATTACTGAGTTATGTGAGAAATGATTATTAGTGGTAAGATGTGATAAACTTTACTGTTCACAGCACTTTCTTAAAAAATAAACTTTTCCTCTTCCACAATGATTTTCACAAATCTCTTCACTTTTGTTCATATTTCCATGTCTCATTATTCAGCCTGACCTAGCTTCATAGCCACAGTTCTGCTTCAGTCTCTCAAGTGCTGGTATTACAGGCATGTGCCATCATAACCATCCTCGTACTTTACAAATATATGTATTGCTGAACTGCTGGCTGCCTTTAGTAATGGCCTTGATGCTGTTTAAAAAAGTAGGACAGGCCCAAAATTTACTAAAGTGCAAACCAGTGGAAGTAATGCCAAATTAAGCATAGAAATGGCACAAATATAAATTAGGAATGTAAGATCTAAATTTCAAGTAAACTTACTTTTTACTGCACCTATAACAGAATAACTAATAATTTCTTATGAATATACACATAAATAATATTAGGTAAAGAATTCCATAGTATGGTAAATTTTAGGGTGATTGATAAATAAAACAAAAGCTAGCTGAGTTGGCACAAATTTATAATCTCAGCACTTGGTGGCAGAGGCAGAGGCATCATAAGTTATGGGTCAACTTGGTCTTCAACATGAACTCTAGACTGTTCAGTGCTACATGTAGAAATTCCTTTTCCAAAAAACCAAGCAGACAACTAAACAAACAAACTGGTGCAATGACAGAAGCTCTTTAAAAAACTTACAGATCATTTTATGAACACTTAAGTGAAATAAATCAAGAAACATTAACTTAGACAAGTATGCAGTCTTGAGCATTTATTTCCCACATGTGGTCCATCTTACCTCTAGAACCAGTTGTTGGAGAGAAGGAGATGCTACTGGATGCAGACTGGTGTTGCCACGGACAGGACTATGGAGGCTAATATAAGCTACAGCATTGTTTTGTAGAATCTTTGTGAAATCCTGAAATAAAAATTACAAAAGTTTTACCGTGGGGGTAATTAAGATAATATGTTCTGCCTTATTAGGACAATACACACTTTGATGTTAAAATATAACTCTTTTTTTTGTATGTATACTTCCTCCAATTAGACTGCTGCTAAGGTAGTACTTATACAAAGTAATAATTTTAAGAGAAAAGGCTGAAATGTAAGTATAATGTTCAGTACAATTACATAACACAGATTAGGAATTTTTTTCAGTGGTGGTGCCTAATGTTATAGTTATTGAATTAGAGAACATAATTGGTGAGTTTCACTGGTTAGGGCTAACAGATTTTTTCCTGTGAATCAGTAAGCTAATTTACAGCAATAAACTCTTATTTTGAGGAAATTTGGACAAATAAGAACTGTGAACCTGAAGATATTACCTTTTAAAAACCATTATGAATACTGCATGTACTAATGGAATGAAATGACTCATCAGCATGGTATTACATTGATGACCCCTGCCCAGCTGTATTAAAGATATCTGATCCCACAATGTGAGAAGAAAAATCAGAGGTATTTACATCCTTGACGTATCTCTACTTAATGTTGCAAATTCATCTTCAGATTGAGAGATGAATAATTATTTAAAAGTAATTCATCTTTCAAATGAACACATGAGTAATTAAAAACACTTTAGTAGTTTCACATATAATGTGGTAATAGTTGTCAATTATTACTTAAAATCTATAAAAACAACTCTTATAACAAATGAACGCATAGACCTTCCTATTTCAGTTAATGTGGCTTCCACAAGCACCACAGGAGACAGTCAGTCACATACTTGAGAAATCTAATCTCCGAGAAGTCAAGCTTTTAAAAATAACATGTCTATGACAGAAAAAATTAGAATTCTTATTTCCTTACTCCAAAATTTGTAATATTTCCAGAGGGACATGTGAAAAAATATTCTTCATATAAGGAATGGTGCTCTAAAAGATCCTATTTTATGAAACGCCATATTTCCCACAGGGATCAATGTTGGTGCTCAGTCCATTCTCTATTACTTGCATGGCTACAATTGCCACTTACAAGTTATTGAGCAACTTTGCTTAATCCTGTTAACCTCAACAGAGTTTCCAGGGGTTTCTGTAAAAGCAAAATTATAGAGAGTAAGATGGAACATGAACCAAGCTTTTTCTTGCTCACCTCCACTCAGGATCACTATAAATGAAAGTGTCTCTTTATCAGGAGGCACAGATTTCCTAATAGTCAATGGAATGAACAACCAAGGGTCTATGCTTCCCTTCACATGGATGGTATTGAAATGTTTTTGTGGGGTACAACAGTGCAATATATTATATAGAAAATTACAGATTTTTTTATTAGCCAATGGTGAACTATGAAACCCTTGATCTTTATATTACTTATGTCTTTGTCCATCTACTAATTTAAGAGTTCAGAAGATAACTAAATTTGTATTTTTGCTCAGCTTCACACACACACACACACACACAAACACAAGAGCAATCTACATATATACTTCTATTTAATTAAATATAAATACATCTCTCAATATATTTACAGCTAATTGAAATAGAATGATATCACTTTCCCTCCCCCAGGCCCTCCTTCCACTTTTCCTCACTCTAAACCTTCTATGATCCTAATCATTTCATTTTTAAGTTGATAATTGAGTTTTTATTATTGCTATATTCATATACATGTATATATATATGAACAAGTATATAAATACATCCCACTGACTCTATTTTTGTTGTTTGTTTGTATACAAGTAAGTTTTCAATTATTTTGAACTCATGTACAATAGCAGTTTTTATATTTGGTCTCTGTTGAAAAGTAACAGAATTGTCAAAAGGAACAATAAAATCAAAAAGTACTTTAAATAAATTAATATTTTATGAGTCACAAAATATTTATGTGTTCAAAAATTTGTTTCCAAACATGCAAATCCATATTTATTTAATTTTATCCTTTGATGACTGACAGCTAAATACTTGCAAGGAATTTTTGCAATAAAATTCTCTGTGAATTTGAGTTTAAGATATGTAACTTAGGAAATAATGTAATAAAAATCTATTTTATGGATGTGGTTTGAACATATTTATTAATTAAATATTAATATAAATTATTTGTGGAAGTTGTAGACATAGGGGAACTTGTTTAAAAACAGCCCATTCCACATAGAGGGATACTCTCTCAGCCTAGACACATAGGGGAGGGACTAGGCCTTGCTTCAAATGATATGACAGACTTTGCAGATTCTCCATGGAAGAACTCACCCTCCTTTGGTAGCAGAAGGGAAATGGATTGAAGGTTGTGGGGACAGGGTGGAGGGTATGGTAACGGAATTGCGATTAACATGTAAAACAAGCTCATTTAGAATTTAAATAAAAAAAATTTAAAAAGAATTACAAAAAAAGATGTTTTCTTAACATTTATTAGAAAATTGAATCAGTCTCATTGATTTATAATTAGTGAAACAGTACAAACCCATCAACATGCAAAAGCTGTTTTTAAATTGTTTTAGTGATCTTGAAGCCATGGAATAAACTTTAAAATTTTGTTTCAAGGGCTATTGTTTTTCTCCTGGAATTAAAAAGTTTCTCAGACAAAGAAATGTCTTCATTGGAAGAAAATACACACATTTTGAAATAGAATCTTCTCACCACTCACTTGAATACCCTGAAATAATCTCACCTGAGGACTTTGGGAGTCTTGCTTAGGTTACTTACATGAGTGAACATTTTCTCAGCTTTAAGATTATTTCCCTTTCTAAAAGTACATGATGGAGTCGTTCTTTTTTTTTAAGAATATTTTTATTTCATGTGTATTGTCCTCTAAGTAGAATTGTAATTACCAAGTAAACACTACTACAACTGATTTGCAGGTAGTAGGTCTCAGAGTAATGGACCAAGATAAGTTTTTGATCACATAGAACCCACAAAGGAATAACTCAAATTTCCTCTTATCAATTAGAAGATAGGAAGTCCTTTTGATGAGTTTATTATTTTCTTTGCCTTCAACAATATTAGACTATAACATCTGGAAAATAAAAGAATGGAAGATAAAAGGAAATAAAATAAAATAATTATAGTTAATGAATATATTTCACCTCTCCCCATTCATAGGAGCCAATATTGCCCCAGGTCGTTCCTCCCCAAGAACAGAAAACAATAGTACGTTCTGGTCTCCATCCTTTCTTCACTCTTAACATCAAGGCTTGGATAAATGCTGTGATTATTGCAGTACTGCTGGCCCATTCTTGTCCATTATAATTGTATCCAGCATGGTGGTTACTGCCAACTATAATATACCGGTCTGGAAATAGAATAAAATAAGAACTATTAAAACAAAATGTAAACCTAACAATGATTTTAATGACATTTACATAAGCCTATTGCATAAGTAAGCAACAATTAAGCCAAATTGTTCTGGTAATTAATAGCACTTTAACATTTTCCACCCCTTTCTTGGTTCATACATCTGGGTATATCAATGCAGGAGCAGCTTAAAGTAAATTATGAATCTACAGCTTAGTTCCATATTACTGTCCTCTGCAACATGAATATTAATTAATGAAGTCTACAAATATTTCACAATGAAACTCTTATCTATCATTTTTCCAGCACCATGATGGGAAGTGCACAGCAAACAATGTGGTGAGTGTTTGTTGAATAGCAATGAGCTATTAATACATCTGAAAAGAAGTGTCTTGGGAGCTGTGTACGTTAAAAATTTGTTAGTCAAGTACAGATTTGTAAAAAGAATAGGTATTTAAGGATCTACTTGTAGTTTCAATTTAAATTTCTAACCCTTCTCCATTCTCTAAAGGAAAATAAAATTCACCACCATCAATACAGAACTACCGATAATTTAATTTTCACATATTTTATTTCATGTGTTCACACACAGTTCATTTGATGTTCCTATAGAAAATTTTCCACAATTCATAGATGTTATTTTTTCAGTGTATTTCACTGACTATTCACATCACTAAAATAGGATCAAATTACAGCTCCAGAGATTTCTCCTGTTTTTGTTATTTTGTTTTTGTTTGTTTGTTGTTTTGTTTTGTTTGGTCAGTGCATGTTATTTATAACAGCAACAGAGTTCACTCTATTTGATCAAATAACAAAATGCATTTATGAAAGAACATTCTCATCATTGTTTGATTATGAGCTGTTCCATGTAACTATACAGGCAGGGGTCAGCAAGCACGTACAGTGGATATAAGCACTGTGACCTTAGTTTGATTCTGGGACCCACATGGTAAAAGGTGAGACATGACACCTGTAAATTGTCCTTTGACTTCCATATCTTACTAGTAGTTGCCTTAAATAATTATGCACACAAGAAATATAAGTATCAATGTAATTTTTTGAAAAGTATGCTATCTTTGAAGGAATCTGTATTGGAGTTCATATTTACCAAACAACTGATTTTATGGCACCTGGGAGTTTATTTAAACTATCTGTGCCTTTTAGATTTTAACCTCTCTATTTTAAACAATGACAACTAATGGATACTTCAGTCCATCAATTAAATTACTTTATTATTTATAAGCCACTTTGAACAGTATTTGACATAAAGTAGGCCCTACATCTATATGGATCAAATGGATTATCCTTGACTAGAGTAGGACAAAGATTGCTTCTAAAAAAATTTAATGGTATAGAATCACTTAAATTTTTAATACTGAAATGAAACCAGTGTGGATTTAAATTTTTTACCGCTATCATAAACTGTACTTAATGGGATATAGGGCTATATACAATGTTATATGACTGTATATTCAAATACTAAATGTATGGGTATTTTTCCCTCATATCCCAGAAATGTATGAACATTCTGCTTGAGATGAACTGTACCCTTAATAAATTAACCAATGTATGTCTCTGGATTTTATCATCAATAATTAAGAAATCTCATGCACAAGCAAACTTTTTAACTTTTTATATGGAATTCATATTAAGCAATATTTGAGAACTTTTGCATGCAAAACTTCTTTTGGTAGATTAAAATTCCATTAGCATGAATCTGGTGTACTTTTTATACATACAAATATGTTTTCTTGTGGTGAGTTACCAATGGAATAGTGATAATAAATATTCTCATAGTTCAATTGGATGTGTTTATAGTTAAAGCCACTGAAATAGGTAAAATACACTCACATAGAGTCCCAAGTTAATTTGTGTCTGTGTCTAAGGATGCTGTGATGACAAGTTATACAATAAAGGAACCAGAGAGAATAAATACATTGCATGAAAATTTTAAAGTTGGCTGTCAAGGAATAGAGAAGTAAAACTTCATTTCAAAATTCTCTGGGTCAGCAATTAGGTCATTTTAAGCAGTGACATAGAGAAAAATAATTCTCCAAAGAGAGTTGTTTAAGTGTCCAAGTCTTATCCACAGAAGTGGTTTGAGTGTAGTAAAATCTTAATGGTGCTCTGAGAATAGCAGATTGTAAGTTAAAGTGCTTAGCACACATGAGCAATAAGATCAGTCCCTGGAACCTGTGATGGAAGGAAAGTAGTAATTCTGGAAAGTTGTCCTCTGATGCCCACCATGGCACTGCTGTGCCCATTCTGTCTCTCACACACATACTTAATAAATGAATGTTTAATGAAATAGAAACTGCAGTAAACTTCATGGGCTCTCATGGCCATTCAGTGATTTGGGATACAGCCTTATGAAGAGACAGAGTGTGCTGGTGTTAGTCTATTAACTGATATTCCATCAACAGTTCATAAGAAGGTGTAAGTTATTTAGCATCTAAGCAGACACAATTTCCATAAAAAAAACTTTCAAAGCACATAGACATTGGGAGAACCAAGAGTGGACAATATATTCAGGCTGGGGCAGAGATTCACATTAGAAACTTTTGTTTGGAGATAAAAACTTGATTTTTTTCAACAAGTGCATCATTAAAACCTATGATATTTTCTTTAAAGTATTTGTCATTGAATTTTCCATAGATTCATGGAAATAAAATAAAAATATTCCCTTTTGATTTTCATCTCTATTTAACAAACACAAACTCTCCCTTTGTCTCCTTTCTTGGCCTTAAACACACCCTGCCTGCCATTGCTTAGATTTGTTGAGATGTGGTAGGAAAGAAAGGAAAACATATTTCAATCTTTCATATCAATCCATTCCTTTAGTCATCTAAACCTATAGTTACATATAAAGTAGGATACTTAACTCCATGTAAAAATTATTATTGGACATAGAACAGTTCGGTCATTTCACGTGAATTAGGAACTAGATTATAACTACTTAATCCAACTTACCTGGTGATGTCAAGCCTTTTAGATATCCAACAACATTAAATACTGCTTTAAATTCTGTGACTGTCTGCACTTGCAAATGTATAGTTCTTTTTTCTGAAAAAAAAATTAAAAACACATGTACTGTTGTGTTTCCTTCAAAACATTGTTTATCTAATATCATCAGTAAAATAATTCCACATGATTCACCTTTTCCTGATAAAGTTACATTTATTTTTTTTTGCTGTTGCCAAATATTAAGACTATTTTATGGATTTCTCTTGCTATTGTCACTTTGATACAGCTGCCAGCTTCCTGCTCTGAAAACTGTGAAGAGACAAGCCTGAATCTTATGTTTTTTCCAGTGCGGGGTTTAACATAAGAATACACAGGAAACCACTGGGTGAATTAGGAAAGTTATAGCTTGCAAAAGAGGGTAAAACAGACAGATACGATTATTTCTGTGAATATTAATAATTTTCTGTCTTCAGAACATGAGCGTAAGAAAAGCACACAATTTCTCTGTGTGACTCATTGTTATATCAGCATTGAAAACTGTACATAAAATACAAGTATTATCCCTAATGCCTATTGTCATATAATACATTCTATTTTCATAGATTATATAATAAATATCTACTAATTTCTCCACCTTTTTGTTTTTATTGATGTTTTGTTTGCATGTGTTTTGTTGTCCATGTGTGTGCATAGAGGTCAAAAGAAGAGATTAAATCTTTTGGGGGCAAGAGTGGGTAATTGAGGATGGTTATTTTGTATGGTTTAACTTAGAAAGCACTTTCTTGGGACTGGCACTATGGCCAAGCAGTATCTTTCTAGACTGATGATCTGAGTTACATACCTGGGATCCACATTGTAGAAGGAGAGCTCAGAAAGATGTCCTATAACCTCATGCATGTAACATGGTTCTTACATGCCATGTTAAGTAAATAAATAAGGGTAATAAATTATTTTAAGAAGGTTAAAAGACTTCTTTATTCTAATTACATGTAATTCACATGTTCTTCAAATATTTGAAACACTGAGACTTGAATTTTTTTTTTTTAAGTTGATATCATTGATCCAGGTCTTTAACTATGGAAAGTAAATTTTTATTATATAATTTATTGTGTAGTTTGTCTTACTGAAGCAGCTATCATATAGATTTCTAATATATATGGGTCATTTTTAGCTTTACTGTTGTGTTTCAGTTTAACATTTATTAAGCTGATCTAATCAGCATATCATCACTATACAGTTACTTCCTGAATTTGATTGTATTGATGGACTATACTTTCAAATGAACTTTAATGCTAACTTTTTAAGTTTCATGTATTTGGTTTTGATTTTGCTTTTTTCCCCTTTAGGATTACAAGGCACCCATAGACGTATCTGAGGAAATAATAATCATTCTTTAGTATACAAATGTCGTATATTTCCTGGTTGATTTCACTTGTCTTTATGTCTGTCAACAAAGTTTTATATTTTCTCCTCAACAGTTTTGTATAACTATTATTGCATTTATTTTTATTGTTTTGTATATATTTTTCTAACAACTTATATTACAGACAAGAACATCATTTATTTTTATACTTTTGATTTATAATGTAAGATTTTACTAATCTTCAATATGTCATAGTAGTTCATCCATAGGGTTCTTTTTTATAAATATATAATTTTAAAATTGATTTTTATGAATTCCCCAGTCTTTTAATGTCCTCTACCCTTGTAGCCTCTTCCCTGTTCAAAGAAAATAAAAATAGAAATACAAATTTTAAAGCAATTACTTTATTCATCCAGCTTTTCTGCTTCTCCATCACTTATTCAATTGTTGTAGTGGTTTTGGGAGCTGCAGTATGTCATACCATATACCTTTTGCCAAAGCAGCTTTCCTTACAAATGTTTATTGCAATGAGCCATTGGTCTGGTTCAAGGTCTCTGGTCTGTACTACACTGAACCCTCAGTGAGACTCTTTTTGGATATTCTGCCATTGCCCTGTTTCTTTGAGATCCTAGTTCCACAAAACTAGTCCCTTGAGGCACTCCAGGAAATCAATGATGGAGTAGATGTTGTGGTGGGCCAACTCAAAGCCCTGTATATGGGCCTGGATAGTAAGCCCAGACTTCCACTAGGACCACCCCCCAACCCTCCACCCTCTGCAGGAGCATGGCCAACTCTCCCTTGTCCTTGCCTTGGGACCAACTCTCCCAGGGCCATAGAGGTGCAGAGCCAGCTCAGCAAGATTCTTGAATGTCAACATGGCCTCAGGTGGCAGGCCAGACCATGGGCATCTTTGTGGCTTTTGATGGTAACACAGATCACAGACATCAACAAAGATGCAGTAGAACCATGGATCCATACATGGTCTTTGGTAGCAGCACCAGCCTGGACATTATCATGGCTTTTGGTGTCAGTGTATGCCTCTCACATCAACCTGTTCCTCACCTGCTGTCACATTTCTGATACTGCCTCCCTCCACAGCACCTGACTTGCTTTGTTTCTCTTTCTCTCCCATCTCTATATTATGTACTTGCTCATTGTAGTGGTGCTCATTCTATCTGGCCCACACAGCATGGTGACATGCTGGGCCTGTCGTCTCTCAATCACTAGGGTTTTTGATGTTGGTAGTTTTCCCTTTCATATGTATATGCATGAGTGTCTATTTGTGCACATATATGTAAATATGAGTACACTTGTATGTGTGCACATGTGGAAAACAGAGGTTGACATATGGTATCTTTTTCTAGTGTTCTCTTATTTATTAATTTTTTTGTATGTGTCTGAGGCATGTGCTCATGCTTGTGCATACGTGTGTGTGTATGTGTGTGTGTGTGTGTGTTTATGTGTGTGTATGTATATGTGCATCTGAGTATTTGTCTGTGCATGTTCTCACATTTGTGTGTACCTGAATGTGGAGGCCTGATATTGATATCAGGAATCCATCTTGATTACTACCTATCCTATTCATTGAGGCCAGATCTGTCAGTTGAGCCCATAGCTACATGATGTGTCTGGTTTCACCACCCAGTTTGGTTTGTAGATTCAAAAAAATGGGACTTCAAAAAAACTGGAACATTGATACACCCAATCAGCTTTTACTTGGCTTCTGGGAACACAAACTTCATTCTTCACACTCATATGGTAAGTGTTTGGTCACTGAACTATCTATCCAGCCCTCTTTTCATGGCTGAGTCATCTGTTCAGCCTCCTTTTGCCTTCTGACAAGGTCTCTCACTTAACCTCTAGTACACCAACTATCTAGATAGGCTGGCAAGCAAGACCAAGGGGTCTGCCTATCTCTGCCTCCTAAGACTGAGATCACATATATTCGCCCACTGAGCCATCTGATTAACCTTGCTTACTGCTAGTAACCTATCATTTTGCCCTAGAGTCCATGAAGAGAGAAATGGGCAAAAACATTGTTGTTTTATCTTTGCCTTTTATTATTAACTTAAACAGATTTTTTTTTAACATTTTATCTCTTATAACATTCTTGATATATGTTTCTGGGAAATTCCTTTTATCAAATTAAGAAATTCACTTCTATTGTTATTTTGCTAAGAGGTTTTCCCACAAGCAGAAGTTGAGTCATAGATGAAGAGAGCTGGAAGCTTTTCATTTCACAGTGTTTGCAGATATGTGCATTTCTGGAATGCGCTGTACATTGTCAAGATATGCATTACACTTGGTGATAGTTTCACTCACAAAATGCATATACACACATTAAGTATTTATTAAGCAACTTTATATCTAATTTTACTGGATTACTTTGATATGTGGATTACACAAACTTCCAAATACTTTAGGCATCTTTCTTCCTCTTACAGATTCTATTAGATTATGAAAAATGCAGAATATCACTTGCACAAAAGGTAGGATTAAAATATGAAATTTTACTTTGTCTTTATTACTATTGTATTAAATGGAATAATTCACCTCAAATTTTATGTACTGGTTTTATTAACATAATTTATTCATTTAAGTGATTTACTCACTAATTTTTAATTTTCTTATGATTTATTTATTCTTTTAAATTTCATTTTACATTCCAACCACAAATCTTTCTCCTACTCCTCCTCTTATCTACCCTTAACTCCCCCAGAGCCCACCCCTAGTCCAAACCTCATGGGTAATGGCTCTAATGTGCAGTTTACAAAGTCTTACCCAATAAGTTTGGGCAATGCCAAGACCCTCTCCTATGCATTAAGTCTATTCAAATTGTTTATCTGTCTTGATATAATTTTGGTATGTGGAACCTGTCCAGAAAACTGTCCATTTATTTTAAATTTCCCAATTTTAGTACAGGTTTTATTGAATGATCTGATGACTCTGTGGATTTCCTCAGTGTCTGTTGCTATGTCCCTCATTTCATTTCTGATTTTGTTAATTTGGATATTCTATCTCTGCCTTTTGGTTAATTTGGATAAAGTTTAGTCTATCTTATTGATTTTTTTTCAAAGAAACAACTCTTTGTTTCATTGATTATTTCTATTGTTCTCCTAGTTTCTATTTTATTGATTTAAGGGCTCAATATGGTTGTTTTAGCAATGCTATAAGATTTTTATGTATTAAGTCTATAAACTTTAGATATTGCTGTATCTGTGTGTGTGTGTGTGTGTGTGTGTGTGTGTGTGTGTGTGTATGTGAAGGTGAGCATACATGTATACATGAATATGGAGACCAGAGAATAACCTCAGTAGCTCTGGTATTGTTTCTCAGGAGCTCTCAATTTATATTTGACGCAGGATCTCTGAATGAGCACGAACTTATGAAGGAAGTTAGTCTAGCTGGCCAGAGAGCTTTAGGAACAAATTTTCTCTGCCTTCCCAGCACTGGTATAACCAGGCACTTCTTCACTTGGCTTTGCTACATGGTTTCCTGGAACAGAATTTGGATTCATATGCCTTTGCTACAAATACTTTATCAAATAAACCATCTCTCCACTTTCCAAAATGTTGTACATTTCCTATGAACTAAGTCTGTAAGATTTTTTTCTAAAACTTTCTCCTTTATAACTCAGCTAAATATTAATGTCTTGCCTTTAGTTTAAATTATTCTAGAATTTCCACACAACTGTTGTTCCCACTATGAGTAGTAGCTCTGCCAGACAGTTGCTCAT